CTAGGAGCCGTCAACCACTGTTCCTACTGTCCCTTCAGGGGTTATCTAGAACTCCTTTTTTTTTTTTTTTACCAGCTTAGAGAGCAATAATAATGGATAAGTGGGTCCTGGATGTCATCTGCTATGAATATACAATCAAGTTCATCAACTACCTCATCTACATCCCCCTCCTCAATCCTTCTTCAGGGACCACTCTGATGACATCCTTGCCCTTACCACAAAGGGGAGCGATAGAGTATGTTCCTCTGAACTATCAAGGCAAAGGGTTCTATTCAGCTTACTTCCTGGTATCCAAGAAGAAGGGCAGATGGAGACTAGTCCTGGATCTCTGTCTCCTCAACTTTTTCATTCACATGTTTGAGTTTCATAGGGTCACTTGAGCAGCCATCATACTGTCACTAGTAAAAGGTATGTGGTTTCTGGCTGTCAATATGCAGAATGCCTATTTTCACAGAGGCATTCATCTAACCCACAGAAGATTCCTGAGATTCACGGTGGGCCCTCAGCACTTTCAAAACAGGGTCCTACCATTTGGACTTACCATTGCTCCCCGAGTCTTCACCAAAGTTTTCTCTGTCATAGCAGCCCATCTCAGGTGTTATGGGGTCCTTATATTCCCTTATCTTGACAACTAGCAACTGGGAGTGTAATCCAAAGACGTAGCTCAAATCTTGACCCCCATGTTGCTCAGACTCCTTGCCTCCCTGAGAGTCTGCGTCGATGTCAAAAAATCAACTTTCAGTTTCCACACAGTCAATAGACTTCATAGGGGCCTCCATTCGCTTGATCACAGCCTGAGCTTACCTACTAAGGGGCAGATTCCAGACTTTGCAGGAACTTGTCGCCCGGGTAATCAAAGGTCTGTCCCAGTCTAGATTTGCCTATCCCTCTTCGGCCACATGGCAGGCTGGACATACATCACCACCTTTGCTCACCTCCACCTTCACTGTCTACAAATGAGGCTCCAGAGAGTTTACTCACCCACGTGACACACCATGGACCTTATGCTGACAGTCCCCTGTATGTGCTCTCTTCCCTCTAGTGGTGGATGGACCTGCAGCAAATTTGTGCAGGGATCCCCTTCCTCTCATCCTCCCTGGACAGGATGATCATCACAGACACATTCCTTGCAGGTGGGAAGCGCACATTACGTTAGTGAGAAGGGTGGGTGAACTTGGGGCCATGATGGCAGACACCCTTTTCACCATGTTCCATAAGGACAAAGTCTCCCTGCACCTACATCCCAAGTTTCTACTAAGGGTAATATTCCATTTTCATCATGAATTCGCTTCAGTTCCTGTCTACAGTACATAGTTGTTCTCTATCCAAAACCAGTGTAGCTGGCTTCTGTGTCTTCCCCCGTGCAGCTTCTGATGCATAGAAATGCTTCAGTGGTGGTGGTTGGGCAATGGCTGAACTGACTGTCTGTTGTCATCTGTTGTCTAGCTATCTCCAGCTGGCATTTGGTTCCTAGTGAACTTTCACTAACAGGCTGAAGTTTAAAGCAGGCTTTTAACCTGGTTTGAGATAGAAAATCAGGTGACTGTAACTGGTGGTTGGTTATCAGCTTCTTCTGCTCTTCCCTGGGTGGCTGCGTGAAGGAAGGGAGCCGTCCTTTTCTAGGTGCTCCCCTAGGCACATGCAAAGCCAGTTAGAGTATGTCTACACTACAGTGGAGTGTGAGCCTCCAAGCCCAGGGGTTCAAGCTAGCACACTAAAAATACCCATAGTGTGGACATTGGAACTTGGACTGCAGCTCAGGCTCTCAGGCCTAGGGGGTTGGGTGGGTTTGCTCAGCCTGCTCCTGGCTTATAGCATAGTTACCAGGTGAGGCTACCGAAGGAGTGGTGGGAGGCAGTTGGGGAGATTGCGCCCCATCTCTTCACCTACCACAGTAGGACTGATTCAAACCCTTAATTTTAAAAGTTGTGGTGCTTGACTCAGGAAACACATTTTTAATTCATAATTAAATATACATTTTCTTTACAAGGTATGGTCACTATTCAGGTGCCATGTGTTGCATGCCACTGGACTAAGTTTTGCAGTTGCAAAATTTCCAGTATGTTACAGCTGTAGACTAAATAACATAATATTCCCCTGAAAAGGCCTCCAATGTATAACTGCAACTGATGCCTAGATGCTATGGTGACTGGTGCCTTTAAAAAATATAAAATAGGTTGAAATTGTCAGGGTTCCCTCCCCACTCTGAACTCTAGGGTACAGATGTGGGGACCCGCATGAAAGAGCCCCTAAGCTTATTTCTACCAGCTTAGGTTAAAAACTCTCCAGGCACAAATTCTCCCTTTTACCTTGGGTTTAAGTAACGCTGCCACCACCAAGTGATTTAACAAAGAACCAGGGTAAAAGACCACTTGGAGTTCCTCTTCCCCCAAGCCTTACATCCCCTTTCCTGGGGAGGCTTGAGAATAATATCCTAATCAATTGGTTACAAAATGATCAAAGACCCAAACCCCCAGGTCTTGGAACAATGAAAAAGTCAGTCAGGTTCTTAAAAGAAGGATTTTAATTAAAAAAAAAAATAAAAAATAAAAAAATAAAGGTAAAAATCTCTGTAAAATCAGGATGGACAATACTTTACAGGGTATTCAGATTCAAAACACAGAGGATTCCCCTCTGGGCAAAACCTTAAAGTTACAGAAAACAGGAATAAACCTCCCTCTTAGCACAGGGAAAACTCACAAGAAAAAACAAAGATAAACTAATCCGCCTTGCCTGGCTTACCTATACTGGTTGCAATATTGGAGACCTGGATTGGAATGGGTTGGAGAAGATGGATTTCTGTCTGGCACCTCTCAGTCCCAAGAGAGAACGCACACACGAACAAAGAGTACAAAAAAAACCTTCCCCCTTCTGCACCCCCAAGATTTGAAAGTATCTTCTTTCCCCATTGGTCCTGTTGATCAGGTGCTAACCTGGTTATCTGAGCTTCTTAACCTCTTACGGGTAAGGAGGAATTCTAGGCTACCCTTAGCTGTATGATTATGACAGAAACCTAATCAAAATTTTCTGACCAAAAATACCCCAACTTTGTAAAACCCACCTGGAAACACACTGAAGTTTTAAAGCCTGCTAGAGAATTGTGATATAAATCAACTGAAGAGCTATACATTTTTTTTGTGTTGTGTAAGTGTGTTGGTGAGTTTATAATTTTAGTATATTTTTTAACATCAAAGCAGCCATAAATAATTTTCAGAGTAGCAGCCGTGTTAGTCTGTATCTGCAAAAAGAAAAGGAGTACTTGTGGCACGTTAGAGACTAACCAATTTATTTGAGCATAAGCTTTTGTGAGCTACAGCTCACTTCATCAGATGCATTCACTGGAAAATACAGTAGGGAGATTTATATACATAGAGAACATGAAACAATGGGTGTTACCATACACAATGTAACCAGAGTGATCATTTAAATAATTTTGCTATCGCCTTTTTAGACTGCAGCTGATCCTCTGTCATAAATGTCACTTCAGATTTTCATTTCTGTTACAAAAGATTTGGACTAGCAATGCTAGTATAAAAATGGCATCAGCAGTCCAAAATGATGTATATAGTTGATATATATATATAGTATATAGTGATCCAGGTGGTGATGAATGTTGATCTGGTACATCAGGGCAATTCCCAGTTTTCAGTTAACTAGGTTTTATGCCATTCACAGTTTTGTTGCTCCAGTGATGCTCTTTATGATGATAATTGATCACTAGGAGCTATAAGTGTGACTGTCTATTATAATTCTAATTGGCCTGGCAATATCAAGTAATAAGCAGTATCCAAGACACACTAGCAGTTTGATCACACTTCAATCCTAAAAGGTTATTCCACAAATAATTTTAGGCCCTTGATTTTGTTGCTCAAACTTCAAAGATTGTGGATTGTATAACCGTATAATATGAGGCAGTATAATACAGACTAGCCTGTAAAGAGAAAAATACTGGGTGTAAATTTTTCAGAATGTACTGAATTATTTTAAAGGAATGTAAAACTGCCTTTTCTCAAGGTTTGATACAACTCTAGAATACCGGTGTGCATAACTCCATACTTAATAACCATTTGATACACACCCTTCTATAGCTGAAGGTCTCATTATCACCTAAGTAACCAATAAGTTTCTGAAAACTATATATTTAAAAAATTGCCTCGTAATGTACGATTTGAATATATCTAATAGAAACTGTTGCACAGGTGTTAATGTTCAAATAATACAGCTTATAACAGTACCAGGCATTATCTGCCAAATGTTTGCTTGAAAAGGGAGATTGATTCTCTTCAGACTTATTATTGTAGAATAGAATTTTCTTTAATTTTATGCAAACACTAATACTGCATAAAGATAATATTTTTTTCTTATCAAAACTTTTTGACACACAAACAATGTTGTAACTTCTTAAAAGGAGAAACGGCTCAAAGAAATACTGAATTGTAACAGAAAAATTAAACATGGATAATTCATACTTGTTTTGGTATTTCATGGCTTAATACTTTAACACTAAAATTTGCTGTTTGTGTGATCTTCTTTAAGAAGGGGGAATTGAGACCACACTAAGGCCTGGTGTACACTTCAGAGTTAGGTCGACATAAGGCAGCTTACGTCAACCTAACTCTGTCAGCATCTACACTACAATATAGCTCCCGCCAATGTAAGTTACCCACTACACTGACCTAATAACCATCTCCACGGGAGGTGTAGCGCTTAGGTTGATGTAGTTAGGTTGATGCAGTGTCCATGTAGACACTGTGTTGCTTACATCGCCTATTGCTATTTTTATCAGCCCCTCATAATGTCCCACTTAAGTCAATGCAAATGCTCCTGGTGAGGACGTGCATCACTGGCAGAGTGTAGTGTGAAAATGAACAGCCAATTTACTGCAGTGGCTGTAGGTCAACCTAACTTAAGTTGACTTAATTTTGTAGTGCAGACATGCCCTTTAAGTTGCTGGTTTTCTGCTGAAGACTCTAAATTCTTCCTTTTATTTCTTTACGCAGGCTATTCACTCTGTTGCTTGGCACCATGAAGGAAAACAGTTCATTTGTAGCCATTCAGATGGCACCTTGACCATATGGAATATAAAATCCCCTGCCAAGCCACTTCAGACAATCACTCCACATGGTAAGAAAAGAATGAATACACACAGGGTCTGGCAGTTCTTACACTGGAAATATGTCATTAAACCTTTCTATAAAATCCTGTTTTATTTAATTCTAGAGCTTAAAAACTACTCCCCTAGCAAAAGGAGTTTTTTCCTAGGTGTATGATGATAACTTCTGCAAAATCCAAGCTGTTTACAAAAAGTCTCAAGCCCTTATGAAAATAAACTTCTGAATGTGAATAATGTAAATCAGTGCCTTCCTAAGTCTTCAGAAACATCTCGAGTGCATTTCTTGGAAATTGCTACACAGATGAATGAACATAAAGTTTGCATTGTGCTTAATGTTGCAATCCATGTATTGTTTAAAATATTTCTGTGGATAAGCAAGTATCTGTGTGAATTCTTGGAAAATCAAAATTGTGCTATGAAATTCTAGAATTTTAAAGCAAATATGCCCATTACCAGACTAGTAGCCTAATGAAAGGTATACTGAATGTTCAAATAAATAAAATAGTTTGCATTGCTATTTTATAGGAAATCAAGATATAAGTGTGGTTCTTCTCTGGGAATAGGTTTTGTAAAAATGGCAATTTTAGTCACTAGATCAGCTCCCTCTGTTTATTCTAATGTCTGTTTTTAATCAGTTTTCAGAGTAGAACTACATTATAGGGAAAAAAATTTTTTTGGTTTCTGCCATATTGCTTTTTGAAGGCTGTCCCAAACAAACATTCCATGTTTACATGATTGTCAATATTAATTGTACTTTTGCATTATATTGAGGCATAAAATACAGTATGTGATGATGTAATAATTTGTGTGCATATTTTAATTTGTAATTTATTTAAAAGAATAATTTCATAAGATTTCAGCACATTACAGATTTTTTTTTAACGTTTAATATATGAAAAATATATATATATATATATATATTTAGGAAAGCAGCTAAAAGATGGGAAGAAGCCAGAACCTTGCAAACCTATCCTAAAAGTGGAATACAAAACAGCTAGAGCTGGGTAAGACTTTTTGCTTATAAGTCAATTGACTCTTAACACTATATTTGTAGTCTTTGAGAATGTCCTTTGTATCTTCTCATTTGTGGGATATGTACCCAATGTCACTGAGCTTGGACACCTCTGGAAAGCAGTAGTAAGTGATGAACTATAGTTACTGTTGGGTAAAACATAACCATTATTCTAAAATATGTGTGACTAGAATAGGTAAAAATGACATGTTGATGAATGCTCCATAGCTATATGCTCCTTCTTTAAAACCAAAGGGCTGGCAAAAATATAAAAATGTGATAAAATAGTATTTGTTGCTGTTTTTAAATCTTCATGATTACATGTTCCACCTTTTAGCAACATTAAAGAAAAACTGATAAATAGACAGCAAGTTAAGTAAATTTTCAGTTGTACTAAGTTTTAAGGGAAATCTGTTCCTTTGAAGAATTAAGCTAACTTTATCTAGTAATGAGACCATCAGTAACTTTTTTTTTTTTTAGTGAAGCAATATGAGTTTGGAGTACGGCTGAATTCTTTTCATATGCTGCAGTAATTTATACAATCACTGTGCATAATTATGTATATTTGTGTATACATAATAAAGCTGTAATTCCAACAAGAGGCTCTGATGACATTACTGCATATTGAGTAGCATGTTCTTGTCACTCGAACTTAATGGAAGACTTTCATCCTTTTATATACAATGAGGGGTTTCTTATTTACAGTTGTAAAGCATTTTGATATGCTTGGGGTGAAAGGTGCTATTTAAAATCATAATATTCATGGAAATCTTTGGAGCTATTTGCAGATGTTCAATTTTCAAATAATCTCCATCTTATTTCTGTTGATTTATTTGTTGTACCTTCTATTATTTTTTTGCTTTCTGTATTGCTTGAATGTTTGCAAAGTAAATAAGACTACTGAAAATTGCTGATTAACAAATGCTTCCATATATATTGATATGCTCTACAGTTAATTTTAATGTTATATGAACCATTTTTCTTTCTTTAAAGTCAATTAAATGGAGGTTTAAGGTTTTGAAGCCAAGTCCCAATTTTTTGAAAAGCCCTGACCCAGTCGAGAACAATTGTTCTATTGCACTATTTGCAGCAGTCTACATCTGTCCAGGTATTTCCTTACCACAGGGAGTAAAAACACTGAATAATCATGAAGTCATGATATGTTAAAAAAACTGACAACTCAACTGTTGTGTCCAAGCTTCTGACCCAAATTATGCTATAAATAACTGAAAAGATGCAACAAGATAAAAATTCGGCAATTTGAAGTGTTCACACTGCAAACAGTTATTTGAAAAATGTCATTTGAAATCTCCACAATGTAACAAGTTTTTTTTACAGCATGCAGACTTTAACTGATTTTGACATGGTTTAAAGAAGATAAGTTGCAATCAAACAAGCTTAACTATGCACAACCTCTCCTGTTAGTACAGCTTTCCAACTATATTTATTTTTCCAAGATTTTGCTTTTTCCATTGTTGTGTTTTGTTGTTGAATCTCAACTTGTTCCCTACCTTTATTTCTTACCTTAAAACTGTCCTTTTATGCTATTTTTCATGCTTGATGATGTTCAGAACACTGTCAAATTTATTCTCATTTGAAAACAGGGTGGATTTGATTTACATCAAATTGATTTAAATCACTAGTCAGGAAGACTCGATTTAATCATGGTTTTCTACATAAAAGTGCATTCTTGTTGGTTGTTATAACCTTAATACATATTCTTCACAACTCAGAGATAGACGTAGGTTTCATTTTTAGAAGGTACACACTATACATTTTTAAAGTCATTGTCAAGGTTCCTTCTCCATTCCTGAACTTCTAGGGTACAGATGTGGGGACCTGCATGAAAACCTCCTAAGCTTACTTTTACCAGCTTAGGTTAAAACTTCCCCAAGTTACAAACTATTTTACCTTTTGCCCTTGGATTTTCGCTGCCACCACCAAACGTCTAATTGGTATTTATTATTGGGAAAGAGTTCATTTGGAAACGTCTTTCCCCCCCAAAATCCTCACCAAAACCTTACACCCCCTTCCTGGGGAAGGCTTGATAAAAATCCTCACCAATTTGCATAGGTGACCACAGACCCAAACCCTTGGATCTTAAGAACAATGAAAAAACAATCAGTTTATTAAAAGAAGAATTTTAATAGAAGTAAAAGTAAAAAGAATCACCTCTGTAAAATCAGGATGGTAAATACCTTACAGGGTAATTAGATTCAAAACATAGAGAATCCCTCTAGGCAAAACCTTAAGTTACAAAAAGACACAAAGACAGGAATATCCATTCAGCACAGCTTATTTTCTCAGCCATTTAAACAAACAGAATCTAACGCATATCTAGCTAGATTACTTACTAAGTTCTAAGACTCCATTCCTGTTCTGTTCCCAGCAAAAGCATCACACAGACAGACCCAGATCCTTTGTTTCTCCCCCCCTCCAGCTTTGAAAGTATCTTGTGTCCTCATTGGTCATTGTGGTCAGGTGCCAACGAGGTTATCGTAGCTTCTTAACCCTTTACAGGTGAAAGGGTTTTTTCCTCTGGCCAGGAGGGATTTTAAAGGTGGTTACCCTTCCCTTTATATTTATGACAGTCGTTTATTTTGAAGACTTTTCAGATTAGTTTTACAGCTATATCAGAAAATGAATGATTGTTTGGTTATTTCATTTACCAAAGGTAATTGAAGCAGATATTTATGAAGTCATTGGGAGGTGAACTATCTCCAATTTAACAGGTTAATCATTAATATTTGGAGGATTTTCTTGCCATGTTGTATTAGGAGGAGAACATCTCCAGACAGACCTTTTAAAATGTTTTTGTTTTATTTAACTAAAACGACGTTATATATTCTGGATTTTTTCTTCAACAGCAAACATATAATATTTTAACAAAACAAGCATTTGAATGTAGTTAAACATTCAAGTTTTTTAAAATCTGGTTTGTTTTTGTTAAAGTTATTTAACTAAATAGTTAAATGAAATATATTTTAAAAATTAAATAGACTGTCACCCAGGTCAACATGAGAAATTAGAAATATTGGCTTCTGCAGCTAATTCAGTCGTCTTCACCTTCATTTTCCGGTTTGTCCATAATCTGGAAAAGGAAAAACAAACTTTCCTGCTTTTTCAGGTTCCAAAAGATTTCTCAATTTGGTCCAAAGGAAGAAAATATTCTTTCTACACCAGCAGAAGAAACTACTGCTGTTAAAAGTGAGATGATCACTTCAACAGTCTCTGAATCCAAGTGCTTAAGTGACTTCCTCCAGTTCACTGGTGTGTGACTTTCTTTAAAACATCATCAGCAAACATATATTTCTTGAATGGTTCACCCTTAGCTCTGAAGTTTATTATAGTTGGCATTATGGAGGGATGATTGCTGGATGTCCATGTCATAGCCAACTCCTCTTCTTCAGCAGTTAAGGTTTGACCATGGTACCAAGTATGGAGAATATTTGCAAGAAAATGAGCTGGTGACAGTGCTTGTCCCATTCGTTTTTTTAATGCTTGTAATTTAACTCTGTCATTGCATATTTCTCTTTTTAAGATCTCACTCAGTTCCTTCCAAATTTGAACACTGTCGGCAATAAAACAGCTATTTTCCTGCGTTTTGTTCAAGGCTACAGAAATAGGCTTCAGGGTTCTCAGCATGTGTACAACATTTCTCTAAAGCCAAATGTTGAGAACTTTGGCTGTGACAGTGCCATCTATTTTTTCATGATTTTGTTCACAAACTCTCATCAGATTAGGAAAAAGAAAAGGAGTACTTGTGGCACCTTAGAGACTAACAAATTTATTTGAGCATAAGCTTTCGTGAGCTACAGCTCACTTCATCAGATGCATTCAGTGGAAAATGGGTGTTACTGTGTATGTGTATGGTAACACCCATTGTTTCATGTTCTCTGTGTATATAAATCTCCCCACTGTATTTTCCACTGAATGCATCTGATGAAGTGAGCTGTAGCTCACGAAAGCTTATGCTCAAATTTGTTACTCTAAGGTGCCACAAGTACTCCTTTTCTTTTTGCGGATACAGACTAACATGGCTGCTACTCTGAAATCTGAAACTATAGGAAATGATGGTGATTTTCAAGGTGAATAGTCTTCAGAATCCTGTACGTTGAGGATGGATTCTCCTAAACAAAATAAGTCAATGCAGTTATTTAATTATTATTACCATACTGCTCATTTAGTATTACTTATTGTATTCACTGACACTCAGTACTACTTTAAAGGTGAAATTGTAAAAGGAAGATCTGCCTATTTCAGCCATTTATTTTTTATCGCAACTGCATCTAAAATGATAGTACAATAGAGTAACTACATTTTTGCTCAAAGATGAGAATTCAAGAATAGTCCAGAAGGAAGACAGGCAGTCCTTACGAAAGAAGTATGAAATAAAAAAGTTTACCAACCTGAAGATCCTGCATGTTCAGACATTTTCCTTTCATCATCTTCAACGCAGTTTCCTCCTGAGAAGGAACACTTCTCATGATGTTTCATTCAGGCAGCCAAGCCTTGAATTTTTTTGTTGCACTGTTTGCGTTTTGCACGCATGCCTGTCTTACAGGGAGAGGAACTTCATTAAAATATTCCCAAACTGGGTCTCTATGGCCTGCTCCATTATAGGTTTTCCCTTCTAGTGAGAGAATGATATGTTAGATCTCAAATCAATGAAGGCTACACTCAGAAAGACCTCATATGCTGCTCAAACAGCTTCACTTTTGTTTCTGCTGCCTGTCCCTCCCTTCTCACATTTATCTTCAGACTTCTTCTCCTTATCCAGATCTATTCGTCCCCCAACAATGTTCTATTCATTGAACTATTTGAAACTTTGCACTTTTAGAGAGAGATAAGGGATTGAGTGTGCATGTAAATTTACAGGGACAATAGGGTTGAGGTCTGTTGTTTCTCACCTCTGTATATTTATTTATTTAAAAATATTTTTGCTGTTAACAAGCAGATTATTTCTGGAGACACAAATCCACAGTTTGAGAA